CCCTGCCCTCTGGAGTACAGCAGGGGAAGGTATTGTGGGAGGTGTGTGAGAGCAGTCGATGCCACTTGCCGGGGTCCCCTCTACTTCCTTCCCCTCCCAGTAGGCTCCGCTAGCAGGGGCTCGGTGTCCTCCGCCTCACTCCCTCAGGAAGAAGAACTTCTATCCCTGCCCTCTGGAGTACAGCAGGGGAAGGTATTGTGGGAGGTGTGTGAGAGCAGTCGATGCCACTTGCCGGGGTCCCCTCTACTTCCTTCCCCTCCCAGTAGGCTCCGCTAGCAGGGGCTCGGTGTCCTCCGCCTCACCATGCTTGCCTGGGAGCACATGCTGCCCCAAAAGTGTGGGCTTGAACATGTGCCATGTGTGGCACTGTTGTGTGTGTGCGTCCAGTGCCCCAGCTTCCTTGGTGGCTTGTGGTGGGAAGGTGTCCCACCACTGGGTCGGGAGTAAGGCAGGCATCTCCGGAAACCCTGTGAACAGAAGCGCAAGGTTCCAGAATGGCTGCCTCATTGGGGCTGTTTGCTACTGTGCTATCCCCAGGCTGAGAAGGCTGAGTGAGGAGTGTGCAGCCCCTCACCACCCACCGCCTCCCCCCACGTGTGTCCAGGTAAAGTAATACAAATCACCTGATGGTCCTTCCCCGGCTTTGTCCAAGCCCTGGGTGACATCCTGGGAAGGGGGGACAGGCACCAGGGACAGGCAGTCCTCCTGGCTAGCAGGCAAGGTGTCTGTGCTAGCCACTCCCTCCTCATTGTCATCCTCCTCCACAGCCACGCCCTCCGGGAGGCTGACAACAGGTGTGTCTAGGCCAGAGTCAACGATGAGGGGAGGGGTGCCTAGACTGCCCCCTTCCCAGGATGCCATCCAGCTGGGTGAAGAAGTGGCAGGTCTGGGGTGCTGCTCCCGATTGGGAACTCCTTTCCCTGTCCTTAGCAGAGTCCTGCCGGAATTCTTTTGTTTTCATTTGCACCTGGTCCAGTATGCGGCTATGCCTCCTCTGGAGCAGGTGTCAGCTATCCAGCCATACATGTCCACATTTTGCCATCTGGTGCAGAGATGTTGGCATGTTCCCCCCAGATCGCACTGAGATCCAGGAGCTGTGTCAGTTTACGAGGTCACCCTCCTCTTTTGCCCCCATGCTTGGGCTAGGGAGGTGGCCGCCTGCTCCCTTGCAGCTGTGGGGGCCTTGGAGGGAGCACAGGGATCTGCCATGGTAGCAATGAAAGTAGTCAGGGCTCTGCTGCATGGCATGGTGCGAGCTGGGCCTGCTTTGTGTCACCAGCCCTTTCCCCTGTAGCTGCACCTTTAAAGGCTACAAGGAAAGGGGAACTACAGAATTCTGATAAGTGTAGACTGAGTGGCCACTAGGGCACCTGTGGGAAGCCTTGGAGGCCAGCTGTTTTAAAATACAGCCATTCCCTAACTTACGAACAGGTTACCTTCCAAATAGCTGGTCGTAACTCGATTTGTTCGTAAGTCGGAAATGCCCCATACAAAGAGTAACCAAGCACCAACAACACAGCAATCAACAACGAAAAATAGAAACACATGAAAAAAAACAACACTACTGCAGCAACAGCAAACTTTATTTAACAAACGTGAAATGAAATACAAAACACAATGCAGTAACTTAAATACAGTAATGTGAATTGAATTAATAGGATGAGGAATTGCAGGAGTAAAAAACTACGGTAAGAACATCATCAACAGATTCTATTTCAGCAGTTCCTTTGCTTGTAGAAGGCATTGGTTCAGTATGGGAGGCAGCACTGCTGGGGGCTTTCTTTAAAAAAATATCCATTTTGAACTGGACAATTTTTTTTCCTTCTCATTATAAATTTCCTTATAGCAAGCTAGGGTGTCCTGAATTAAACGATCCACCTTTGAGAATCTCGCAACATTAGGGTCCATTTTTTCAAACATTTGATAGCAATCCAGGGCATCCTGAATTAAACAATCCACCTTTGCGAATTTCGCAACATTAGGGTCCATTTTTTCAAACATTTGCATTCCTTCATTTATTTTGCTGAAAGCTGCAGCTATTTCTTTCATCACAAAGTTTTTGGGGGCTGCTTCCTCTTCTTCTTGGGCTGTTAGTCTCTCTTCCTCTGCTACCCTCTCCACCTCGAGCTGCATTAAATCTTCATTGCTCAGCTCATCCCCAACATCCTCAACCAGTTGGTGTATGTCTTCATTATCCATTTCCAGATCCACTTCTTTCGCCAGCTGTACAATGTTATTAGAAATGTCTTCCAGTTCCTTTTCTTTTTCAAAGCCTTCGAAACAGTTCACAAATCTTTTTAGGATTTTCTTCCATATGCCATTCATACATTGTGGAGTGACTTCTTCCCACCCTGCAGCAATGTTCCTTATGCAATGCAGAATGTTGTAGTCCTTCCAAAATTCAGGTAATGTTTTGCCGTTTTCGCATTCTGTGGCAGTTACTGCCTTTGCAAATGAGTTGCGAAGATAATATGCTTTGAAAGCGGCTATGGCCCCCTGATCCATGGGTTGGAGAATAGATGTGGTGTTGGGAGGCAGAAACACCACTTTCACGTCAGAATTTAGGTAATTTAGGTATTGAGGGTGACCTGGAGCATTGTCCAAAATAAACAAAATTTGGAAAGGAATTCCTTTCTCCAGAAAATATGACTTGACTTCAGGGATGAAGCAGTTCATGAACCAATCTTCAAAAAGTGCAAGCGTCAGCCAGGCTTTCTTATTAGCGCGATAATGGACTGGTAAAGTAGCCTTGCTGATATTCTTGAAGGCTCTAGGGTTTTCAGAGCGATAATTCAAGAGGGGTTTCAATTTATACCCAGAAACATTGCCTCCTAACATGACTGTTAGATGATCTTTGAAAGCCTTATAACCAGGCATAGTTTTTGCTTCTCTATGTATGTAGGTATGTTCAGGCATTTTCTTCCAAAAGAGACCTGTCTCATCAACATTAAAGATTTGTTCTGGAAAATAATTTCCTTCTTTTATCAGCTTATCCAATTCCTCTATGAAAGGTTCTGCTGCTTTCGAATTAGCACTGGCTGCCTCCCCACTTAATTTCACATTATGAAGGTTTGCTTGCATCTTGAAACGGTCTAACCAACCGTGACTGGCAGTGAAAGTTTGGTCATAGTCATACCCTTTTTTCTTTAAGTCTTAAAAAGACTATGAGCCTTAGTTTTCAGAAAGCCTTTGACAAGGTCCCTCACCAAAGGCTCTTGTGTAAATTACATTGCCATGGGATAAGAGGGAAAGTCCTTTCATGGATTGAGAACTGGTTAAAAGACAGGAAACAATGGGTAGGAATAAATGGTAAATTTTCAGAATGGAGAGGGGTAACTAGTGGTGTCCCCCAAGGGTCAGTCCTGGGACCAATCCTTTTCAACTTTATGAAGAGAGGTTACAGCGACTGGGACTTTTCAGTTTAGAAAAGAGGAGACTGCGGGGGGATATGATAGAGGTCTATAAAATCATGAGTGGTGGGGAGAGGGCTGATAAAGAAAAGTTATTTATTAATAGTTCTAATAGAAGAACTAGAGGACACCAAGACCTTTTTTGGAACAAAACTTCATTGTAGAGCGGGTTTGTTTCAAAACGTGATCTGTAGCATGCTCTGTATGTGTGAATTTGAAAAGCCAGTTAAAACAATATTTCAGTTTTATTCAATGTTTTTAATCTATCTGAAATTAAATATGGGGGGGGGGTATGGAAGAGGGAACTCGTCTGTAGAGAATTTCTAAATTTCTGAGATCTTGAAATCCTTGGCAAAATGGAATTGGTCCTCCACCTAATGCCCTGGCCTGTATTATGGAGGGCGGGTGAAGGGATTCTTGCATTCAGAGTGCAAAGTCCTTTGGGAGGAAACATGTATATGTAAATATGAATTTTATGTTCTTTTGCTGCTTTCGAATCAGCACTGGCTGCCTCCTCACTTAATTTCACATTATGAAGGTTTGCATCTTGAAACGCTTGAACCAACTGTGACTGGCAGTGAAAGTTTGGTCATAGTAATCTCTCTCCTTTTTCTTTAAGTCTTCAAAAAGACTATAAGCCTTAGTTTGTATCGTCATGAGACTTAATGGTGTGCGTTTTTCAATTTGATCTTTCATCCAAAGCACTAAGAGTTTTTCCATTTTCCATTTCCATTTCCATTTCCAGGATGGGACCTGCTCTTTGCTTTATTAGAATTTTTTATTTCATAGAAGCAGACCCTTTCACTGCTTCACGAATGCGATCACTATCCTTTATAATGGTGCTGATAGTTGATTTTGGTAGCCTTCCGCGACATGAAGGACCACTGTTTGACCCCCCTTCATATTGTCTCACTATCGCTATTTTCTGTTCCAAATCAATAGTTTTTCTCTTTCTTTTCTCACCACCCTTATTACCACACTTATCACTAGCCCTTTTTCTTTTACTTGACATGATGGCCACAAGCAAACACCGAAAACACTGTGAAGGAATGAAACGTAAACACGTTGCCTGACCACAGACACGCAAACACGATGTGCTGCCGCAAGGTTGGTCGTAAGTGCGGATGGTTGTAAGTCGAAGTGGTCGTAAGTCAGGGAATGGCCGTAGGCTGTAAATTCAGCTGTGCAGTCGACGCACGCCCTATTTAGAAATAAATATTTCAAAACAGGCATTATTCCTTGTGAAATGAGGGTTACAGAGGTCGGAATAAGAAACCCATTATTTCAAAATTATTTTGAAATAATGGCCTTACTGTGTCGACGCTCACTTTGTTATTTCAAAATAACGCTGCTGTGTAGACGTACCCTAAGGAAACAGGTATGTGAAACTAGAGGTAGATGGGATGCCTGTTTGCAGTATATGGACCAACCCAAGTAATTTTACTAATAGTTTTTTGAATAGCTATTACAATTCCCAGCAATGAAAGTCCTCCTGAATTTTTTAATAGTTCTACTAAAAGGATTGTTGGCTGAGAGACTGTCAACAGAAAAATGTGTAATGGGGCTGTGGGACGTGTTGTAGGAAACATGTAAAAATGACTCAAAACCAGGAGAGGAGCATGTGGGCCCACAGGTGGGGCCGGAAGATACATGCAAGGGAGTAGGTGGACACACTGAGACCCCCCCCCCACCCTCCCAGAGCTGCAACCAGAGTGGGGAGGGGTGCTCACTTGCCCACTTGGAGGATTTGAGGATTAGCACTGGCCCGAAGGTAAATTGAGTTTGAGACCCCCTGCTCTACGAGCTGGAATTAGTGTTCCTCTCCTTTCAAACCAGAATGGTAGGCTTGCAGTTTGTGCATCTCACTGTGTGTATCCCAGCATGTTTGACCTTAGTCCAGAGCCTGCAATTCCCTTATCTCCAGAGGAGTTGATGATTTAACAAGCATTTAACAGTGACCAGCCAGCTTCCACAAAATACAAAACATTAATTTATATAAGAGAAAGCACTCAATGTACACACATGCTAGCTTACCAGGCATCACCCATCTTCCCCATGGAGACCTTGGTAGTTTTCCAGTCCTGCAAACCCATCCCACAGGATTTTGCCATTTTGGTTACAGTTTTGTGTCAGTTTGAGATGGTTCAGGCTCTTCCTTTGTACCGAAAGTCCATTCTTTGTCTGTTGGCTCCTGAATGCAGTCTGAAAATCACTACATGCAGTTCCCCCTGAGGTGGTATGTGTCTAGAAATTTGTAATTACATCCCTCTCCCACAACTGATTACAGCTCTTACAGGAGAATAGAACCCAGTGCAAGGATTGGATATTGAGCACTCCATTATACAGCCATCTTTGATCACAGGAAAGCAGCACCTTCGAACAAGATATAAAAGCCTTGGCATGGATACCATTCAGCCAGTTACTCTGGCATGCTGACAGACATCAGGTCCAGGAGTGAGGGATGGCATATGCAGAAGACATAGAAGGAAATTAGTCTTATAGAGTTATATAAGTGTCTGAGTGTTTTCAAGGTTTATTTCTGCCTCACTCACTTATTTTCCTTCCACAATGAAGATGAACTAATTAGCTAGAAAAGTACACAGTAATTTCTCAAGCAGACATTAACACTCCTGTCTTCTGCTCCAGAAAGGGAGTCTTCATATATGATTTTTAATCTACCATCTGTACTGCATTTAGAATAATAATTTATACTGTATTCAAGCTGCTGCTTCTCATACCTTTGTGTTCTGATGGTCCAACTACTGAGTTGATCATGCAAAAAGTACATCCATAAACATCAACTAAACAGACTTCCCTCCTCCAGTTTTCAGTTTTGCTATAGTAGATTGTACTTACCTATTACTGCTAATTTTTATTTTTAGTTTCAATCTATCAAAATTATTGAAAATCAAGTCAATTGTATTGTGACACTATCATTTAACATTTATCACTTTTACCTGGACAGTTCATGGAACATTTAATGAATTACTTATGGAAAACTTAATTATTAAAAAGACAAAAAAATCACTAAAAAGGATGATCAGTGCAGTAAACACTATATCATAAGTCTAAATGATGGACTAGAGGTCTACGAATAACCTCATTTCAGTTGTGACATACTCTGATTTAAAACTAGGTCTCAGGAGACAGAAGCAGGGATGAACTCAATTTGCCTGGTTTTGAATTAAATGAAACAATGTGGCTTCCAGAGTTAGAAGGAGCTGAAATAGACAAAAAAAAAAAAAAAAACCCTGAGGAATAAGTAGGTAGAAAAAAAGAAGGGAGTGAGAAAAAATAAAACCTAACACACAGAATAAAAACAAAGCAGAGAAGGGAAATGATTTTTCTAAAAGCTGAGTCACACTTCAGGTAGACACCAGTTTTAACACAGTTTTGTTTTTTTTGCAACACTCTTAAAAAACCTCCAGGTGGCCACACTGGTTTTTATTTTATTTGATCTTTGAACCCATTAAGTTCAAAAGGTTCAGAGTAACAATACAGAGTACTCAGAAAAAAAGCAGATGCCTCAGAGTTACATATTCTGCTTGATTCACGTTTCTAAATCCTCTTAATACTAATAGAAATAATGTGTGCATCCAGGAGAGAGTGATACCCCTCTTTGATCTCTGATACCTTTATTTCTTTCAAAGGGTAAATTTCCTGGCTGCCACACATGGCATGAATCATGCAAAGAAATGTCACTCCACTACATTAAGTATGAATCTTCAGTGATTGTGTACAGGAGTTCATCCAAGTTTCTAAATTGCTGTTTGTAGCATGCCCTCTATTTGAATGCAAGTGAGGCCATCTGCTGGCTTATCCTGTTTAATACAACATTTATATAACTGTTGGGGAATACCTCAGAAGTCCTTAAAGGTTATATAAAAATCATTTAGCTGTAGACACAATGAAGGGGAGACAAAATCAAATAAAGAAGGAAACAAAAGCTTAAATCAACATTTCCTTGGTTTGCTTCTTCATTCTTGGTATTGCCAAGTCCCAGGACCAGTGTTTTATTTAATGTACACCAAATATTTTTTGAGTAGGCTGCCTGGTAGCTAAAACCCAAATATTCCTGCTTGTATAGGTCAGTCCCTGCCCCTGCTATGCACAGGTGCCAACTCCATGAGTGCTCTGGGCCTGGGGAACATTCTGGAAAAGAAATAGTGGGTACTTAACACCTGCCAGCAACACCATAGTCAGCACCTCCCACCCGCTGGTGCCCCCTCCCCCATTAGTGCACCTTCCTCCCAGCGCTTCCTGCCCACTGCAATCACCTGCTCCACAGAGTGCTGGAGGCACGGAGGAGACGGGGGCAGAGAAAAGGCAGGGTATGCATGGAAGAATGGGAAGAGGCAGGATGGAAGTGGGAGCTTGGGGAAAGCATTGGAGGGTGCAGAGTGAGCAAGAGGCAAGACAGGAGTTTGGGGGAATGTGGCGGGGTCCTCCCCGCCCCTTTCCCTTCTT